TTTTTTGCATTTTAATCGAAATTTCTTCGCTCTTATCTATTGAAAAGGATAGAAAACGATTGAAACTACAATAATACATTGAATTGAACCTATATCGGGAAGAAAAATCTCATTTTTTTGGAAAATTTTGGATTTTTGCTCATTTTATATGTAAAAATTGACTTTTTTTGCATTTTAATCGAAATTTCTCAACTCAAATCTGTTGAAAATGATAGAAAACGATTGAAATTATAATTCTACTTTGAATTAAGGCTTTTTGGGAGTGTAAAAACTTGGTCGTCGAGTTTTGCGCTTATGTAGATCGGGGTCTGTTGAACGGCAGATTGACCAACAGTATTCGCCCAACATATGCGTCCCATCTTTCCCTTTGAAGCGTTCTTCAATTGTTGAAATATCCTGGTCGAAACGCTCGCCTTGTTCGTCGCTACATTGGCCGCAGTTGGGAGGGAAGAAGTCCAAATGGTTGTGCAAAAAATGTATTTTTAGGGACATATGCACACCCATTTCCTGGAATGCAGTTAACATGTCATCCACGATTTCTTCATAGTTCTCAGCTCGTGTGTTGCCCAGAAAATTTTCACAAACATCGCGTATTCCCAAAAATGCTCGTTTCTCGAGTGGAGAGAGCATGTTCAGAAATTCGGCGCTTCCAAATAACTTATTAGTTTGTTTCCCGTTTAGACCACATCCTTCCACTTTTGCAGGGGTCAATTGATTCTTGAAATATCCGATCAAAAATGTCAATGTGTCTGGGTTTATGCGGTACAATGCTTTGAGAAAGTTTTTGATCAATCCCAATTTTATGTGCAAGGGTGGCAATATAACTAATTCAAAATCAATCAATGGCTCGAAAACAATGCTATATTCGCCGATTCTGCGGTTATCTCGAGCTTCCCATTCAAAACCATAGTGAAAATCGTCAGCGCGGCCTTCCCACTTGCACAATAAACACTGATGCTTTGAGTATGCTTGCCTAATCCCACAGAGAATCGCAACCATTTTGAGATCGGAGCATACTTGCCATTTATACGTATCGTATTCAATGAGATGAAGCATCAATTTAATAGTGTCGTAATCCTCTTTTTGATATCTACCGTAGGCAATTGGAATGGATGGATAGACATTTCCATTGTGAAGTAAAACGGCTTTTAAGCTGGCAGTTGAACCATCAATGAAGAGTCTCCACTCTGTCACATCATGTGTAATATCAAAGCAATTGAACAATGATTCGATGTCGTTGCAATATATCATTTTTGATTCTTCATGCATAGCAAAGAAATTGTCAAATTCAGCCGTATTACCGCGTTTACGAGCTGCAGTGACTAAGAAATCATCTGCAACCAAATTCCATTGTTGTAAGCGAGATCCCACGACCTCTGCACATCTTTGCGACATGGCTGCATCTCGAACCAAATCGTCGAAGTCCTTCTGAGTTACCAAGTGTATACCAACAAAGTCAGATGCCACATACTCAGATGTATAGCCGGTAGTTTGAACATATGAAGAAGTAGCAGCACCACCAGCTTCAGGGTAGTCAAAATGTTCCATTGGATCATATGTTTGTTGTTGTTGTTGTTGTAGTTGTCGTTGTAGTTCTCTTTGTTGTTCTGCCATTTGCATCAGAGATTGCGGCATTTCAATTGAGCGATTTTTTGCAGGCAAAACAGATTCGCAAACTGCATACTGAATCTTTTCTCGTTGATTGTAATTAAAACCGAAGCAATTTGGCTTTGTCAAACAAAAATAGCAATCATCGGGTTTGTGTTCATCAATTTCAAACCAAATTGATTGCCGCACAATTTTAAAAACTTCTGTTTCTTTGTTGTTATCAACTGCAGTTAAACGACGATAGCAGTTTTCGCAAGCAATATCTGGTGCATATGGTTTTGTCACGTACAAAGTTTGAAAATATTTCTCGAAGCCGCTAATAAATGTTTTTGTCATAGAGCGAGCATGAGCACTTGGCGTATATAAAGCACACACATAGCAAAACGAGTTCTTATTGCGACACGACATTTTTGCACAATGAACAATGTGAAATGTAACTTTGAATCAATTCACTCTTACACTTTACTTTTTTTAGTTTTGACCACTTTTATTTGGTATAATATTTTTTGTGTACTATATATTAGAATATTTATTTCTAATGTGAATGAGTTGTTGGAAATCATACACAGAGAGCTGTCAGATCGTCGAACTGTTAGTTGATCTGTCAAACTGATCATTGAATCACCATTTTTCCAGAATATTCCATTGTACGTCTGGAAAATGGGGTTTCAGCGCCATCTCTCTGTGAGCGCTGGCTTCTGAATAGCTCAATGTATGTATGAATTAACGTATAATTGTAACTTTAATCGTTTTCTGTAGTAATCGATCAATTTCAACAGATTTGAGTTGAGAAATTTCGATTAAAATGCAAAAAAAGTCAATTTTTCCATATAAAATGAGCAAAAATCCAAAATTTTCCAAAAAAAATGAGATTTTTCTTCCCGATATAGGTTCAATTCAATGTATTATTGTAGTTTCAATCGTTTTCTATCCTTTTCAATAGATAAGAGCGAAGAAACTTCGATTAAAATGCAAAAAAAGTCAATTTTTCCATATAAAATGAGCAAAAATCCAATATTTTCCAAAAAAAAATGAGATTTTTTTTCCCGATATAGGTTCATTTCAAAGTAGAATTATAATTTCAATCGTTTTCTATCCTTTTCAATAGATAAGAGCGAAGAAATTTCGATTAAAATGCAAAAAAAGTCAATTTTTCCATAAAAATGAGCAAAAATCCAAAATTTTCCAAAAAAAATCGATTTTTTTTTCCCCAATTCAATGTATTATTGTAGTTTCAATCGTTTTCAATCATTTTCAATAAACACCAGCCAAGAAATGAGCAAAAAATGATGTTTTGAGTATAAACAAAAATCGCTGATTTTTCAGGTTTCCAAAAGAACTACAGAAATCGATAAAAAAAAATCTAGACGTGGTTTCGAAGAAACTAATGATGCAAAAGTGCTTGGTTTTTGGTCCTCTAAAACAAGCAATTGGAATTTCTTATGTGCAGAAACTTGTGTTGCACGGTGCTATTCATCGTTATTCATTGGTATATTGGTGTGAATTGGTAAAATAAATTGAATATTCGTGTCAATCGTGTACATTTAATGTGAACTCAACATAAAAATATAGAACAATAGAGACCGATGTACGCCGATATCTGCCAATATGCAGATAAACGCTTATTTTTGAAAAATAACAATACATCAGCGAATTCGTTTAAATTCACGTTTAAGTGCCAGATACTTTTGGTTAAAGCGCTGTACCTAACTTAAATTGTGTTTAGTTCATGATCATGACACTTGATAAAGTTTAAGTGCCGCGTACTTAAGATAGTACTTAATTGCCGTAGTACTGGTCGTCATATGTCATTTTGGTCATTCTCAATCATAATGGTAAGATGAACAGACGAACAAATAAACTTTGGATCGATTTAGAAAATTGTCTTGGTTTTAAATTTCCGAAAGAGCTAAAAGCAATTTTAAATATTTGTGGTTTTGATAACGAATTGTCCCTCAAAGAAGTTAATGATAAAATTATTGAGTCCATCGAACAAAGTGTTAATGAAAGATTGTCTGAAAATAATTTAGAATTGATTTCTACGCTAAAAGGAAGTGTATATGAACAAAAACCGCTCCCATTCCGTTTTTTACTTGGTCATAAAGTTTTACTTTCAAGTCTACCCGAGAAAATTGACTCAATAAAAGAACTAAAAAGAAACAAAACAAATAATTCAGAAGAAATAGATAATCGTGGACCAACAGAATATAAAAGGTCACTTTTATTGAAGTTGAAAAAATATTCCGAAAAACATGAGTTAAACTTTGAAATCAGCGAAAATCAAATTAAAAAATTCAGTCAAGTTAATAAAATCACACAGTGCGTAGTGCAATGTTGTTTTTGTAAAACTGAAATACCGTGTACATTTGGTACGTACTGGCAGATCAGTAATTTAACAAAGCATATCCGTGATCATCTTCAAAATCCCGTTAATGCCAACACATCTAGCAACATACTACTAGACATACCATCGACGAGTTCAAATGCCCCAACAATAGAACGGTTTGAAATAAATGTCCTCGAGGAAGTTGAGAATATTGTGTAATTTGATTTTCTTTATTTTTTTATGCTATATTTTATGTCACGCGATATTTATATACAAATATTTGAATATATCCATTTTTAGAAAAACTTCATAAAGCATAATGTATTTCGTTGTATACATTCTCGATATAAAACAAAATCGTACCGTTCCACACTCATGGATTCGGCATATGAGTGGTCACATCGAATCTTTCATTAATTATGGTGTCAATCACAACCGTAATTTCTACACATTCTGGACTGATCGCCCCGAAGCATTTGATGAAAATGGGACTCCAATTGCCAGTTACCGAATCAATGTTGGAGCAAACGTGAGAAACGAATTTCCTAGCGAATTTCCACGTGAGGGTTTTTACCGTTGCCACATAAAGAAATTTTATCGTAAGTTTTTAAATCGATCCATCGAGGAACTCTGTGCAATTTTAAAATTTGTTTTTAATAGGTTGTTTGTTTTTAGACTAAATATTCAAAATATTGAGCATTTGTTTGAGATCCGTTAAGATCTAGTCCTTAATTACGTTTCCATTTTCTTAAAAAAAATAAAATTTTGAAGTAAATTAAATATAAAAAAATGCATGTTTTTTGTAGGTGATAGATTGTCAGCGTTGAATTATCAAACTCGAAGACGCAATATTCCGCCTGCAGTATATAATGAAAAAAAATTAAAAAACAGAAACAAACAAACCCGCAGATCACGAAATACAGCACGGAATCAACGTGTTCCAGTGGCCGTACCACAAATGGCAACACAGGTGAGCGCTAGGGTGAGCACAACTCAATCACCTAGTCAATCGCAGTCGATTGCAACGACCAGCCTATCCATTACAACAGCCGGCCTTTCAGCCGGTTCCATCACTGAAGCCAGCTTTGAAGGCCCAGTTGAAGCTGGAGTTGTTGCGGAAAACTCAGACTTTGAAAATTTAAACGACTCCATGAGCAATCTCGACAGAACAGCTGAAATTTTTTGTGATGACGAATTGCGAATGTTGGAAAATCGACCCGCATATACGACCATCACTGCAACAGCTGTACGACACACTAGTTTGTGTGAAAGTAAATTAGTGATTGACTCATTTTTAAACAAAATTCAATAATATATGCGTATATCTTATTTTTTAGCTCTGGAAAATTCCCAATCGTTAATCAACATTTTAAACAATATTGACCAAGATACTGAAGGCAATCTTCCAGGATGTTCTACCAACATTACAGATAATGTGAGCTCAATCCTAGGCTCAATCGATGTATCGCAGTCTAGATCGCAGCAAAGCTCAACATTAATTGATACTGAGACTAGTACTGAGATGTCTCAAAGTGAAGAGTTAAATTCATCTGAACCAACATCTGAATCTGTAAACTTCAGCATCATTGATTCGAACAACAAAACACCTATGAAAATAGAGCTTGGTCCGTTCTTCAATACTTGTAGAGAACACCTCGAAGAAATTCAAAACTTGCAGAATGTTGAAAATGATTCTCAAATTTCTTTGAATTTTGTTCGACGTCTATCCACAAATATTATTGAAGGTCCATTGGAAAATTCATTGCCAGATCCATTGGATCTAAATCCAATTCAAAATCGAGTTACCGAAGAAAATAACAACAGTGAGGATAGCAATATTCAGGACACAGATGAAGATGATTGCATTATAACTAGTGTAAGTGGTACCGTGTTGCTTCCATTGATGTCGACGACTGACCAAGCTGCTGACGCCCTTATAAAACGTAAAAATGATTGCATTTCTGGGGATATACCATATATGGAAAAAGTAAGTAGACGTATAACTATTTTTACACACTTCACCCTAGATCGCATCTTACACATATTCCCGATTTCCACCTAGAAACATGGTCGCGTTTTTAAAATCGGAAACCGCCTGATTCAAATCGAACGTAATGTTGTTGATAAACTTTGGCAATGGAATACACCACCATCAAATGCAAATTTGGACTTGGATTTTCGGTTTGCATTGGCTGTTTTTCTATCAGTTGTTTCTCCAAGTGATATATTGGAAAATAACATTGATTCGAATTCAATGGATTTCGTATTGGGTAACTTGAAATTACTTGGAAAATTACACAGATTTTTCATTACTAACTCATCAAAATTTAATTTTTTTTTCTTCTAGATTTGATGCGGATTCGATCGAATAACAATGCAGCCAGAGTTTCTGCAGTTGAGATATCAATTAAAGCATATTGTCAATCCAAACAACGTGAAATGACTGAAAACCAGACTGAAAAGCAAACTGAAAAGTGATATTCAATTGGAACTGAAATAGTAACTCAACGTGATATTTTACGCTAGATTTAACGTAATATTTATACACACACTAGCATATACATAAGCATTCGACTTGAAAAAAGTATTTTTTCTATTAAAAGTTAGTTTTAAATTCGTTATCGTTGCTTCAACCTAGGCTTCAACCTAGGCTTCAACGGCGCAAAATTCAAAGCAAAATCAATTGCATTCGAACCAGAGTGATTTAAACCTATTTTTCGTCAGGTTTAGTATACTTGATATAAATATTAGTAAATATAAACATGAACTGATATTGTGACAATATAGTTGACAATCTATGTGACTTGATTGATTTATTTTCTGAATAAAAATTCCGAGAAAATTTTTATATCAACATAAATACCAATAAATTTGATGTTTAGGTCTTGGTTTAAGTGCCACGTACTTTTGGTTAACGCGCTGTATCAAACGAATCTTTGAAAACTGGTTATGCATGAAATAAAAAATTATTAGAAACCAGAATCCACATTTATTTTCAATTGTTTTTATTTCTATAAACAATCACATACGAAGTATCTCACGAAATTATGTTTAGTTTATGGTACAGTTTATAACACTCGATGTTTAAGTGCCGCGCACTTATGGTAAGTACTAGTGTCAAATACCTAGTCAAATACAGCGTGCTAGACAGCGTGTATGTCAACGTCAGTTGAAATCCCTAGAGAAAGCCGGTGTAAACAAAAACAAAAACCACTAGAAGAACCAAGTCGCAGTAAATATTGAATATGAAATAAATAAAAAAAATAAAACTCAAAACATGGATCTCACTTTCAAAGAAAAACGAATTCAGCAAATGATAAATAGACGTTATGGCTGCACAGTTGCTATGCCACCCGGAATTGTGTGTTTATACAGATGTATTGAGATTGGTGAAATAGAATCACATGAACAAAAACATAAAAAAAGTTTGAACACAAAGAAAAATCGCTCACGGGACTACGAAATCAATGCAAACGAAGTCGATAATTTATACGAAAAATTAAAAAAAAGTGTAATACCTAGGTCGACACTAGTTCTCGCGAATGACGAAAAAAAAGTAGAATGTGATGATGATTTAAGTGGTTTTGATGCTAGTTTTGTTGAATCACGAGATTCAACACGAGACCATGTTGTTATGGCCGTACCACAAATTGCAAAACAGACAATAGAGTCTCTAGTAGAGTCTGATGACTTGAGTCTAGATTTTAGTGATCTTGATGGCTTTGTTCTAATCAATAACGATGCTAGATTGTATGACCATGACTATGCCGCACCTTTGAATCTTTCGCCAGAGCAGCACAATTTTGCCGGGACTCGATTTGACAAAGACAAGTGTAACACTGTGCCAAATATCCTTAATTCGGATCCGAGCTGTTCTCAAACCGATTGTCAAATAACTTGTAAAGCTGGCTACAAATTTGCGGATGGTTCTGCATCAATAGACTTGAAATGTGAAAATGGTGGATTCGTGCCAATTCAGAAGAATCAAGCTGTATCATTGGGTTGCCAACGTGAGTATTTTTCAATACCTAATGTATCGTTCAAATCTATTAATATTTGATCGAATCCACAGCTGTTTGTAATCAACCTTGTAAAAATGGCGGTGTATGTGATCAACCAGATAAATGTTCATGCCTGAAAGGTTATGAAGACGACTATTGTGAACATGAAAAAAGCTGTAAAACGAAGCCATCAATCCAAAATGCAAAATCATCGAACTGCGATTTTGAAACATGTAATGCTTATTGTGAGGCTGGATACGCATTTCCAGATAGTTCGACCGAAGTCGAATCGATTTGCGTACAACGTGTTTGGCAGTCAAAATCGAATCAAAAACTCCCTCTCAATTGCACCCGTAAGATTCAATTTCAAAGGCTCTGTTTTTTCATGAATAAATGTCATGAATAATTTTTTTTATTGTATTCAGCCCACTGCTTTAGCCCATGTAAAAACGGAGGAAAATGCTCTGGACCAAACAAGTGCACATGCCCAAGTGACTACGAAGGCGATCATTGTGAATCTGAAAAAGACTGCCCAACCGAACCAGAATCACCGAATACAATATTAAATTGTGATAGAAAACCTAGTAGAAAACAATGTAACATCACTTGTACCAGTGGCCATGCCTTTCCGGACGGGACAACATCAATGAATATGACTTGCGAACAGCATATATGGAAACCAGAAACACCTAGCCAAAGCTTTCAACCGAGCTGCCAACGTAAGATCTTTTCATTTCCAGCAATCGAATTATTTTAAGATTGGCAGAAAAACAAATAAAGTGAAAAATCGTATTTTTCCAGCTGTGTGCACTCCATCGTGTCAAAATGGTGGACAGTGTATTGGGCCAAATAAATGTTCATGTTCAAGCAAGTATGAAGGCAATCAATGTGAATACAAAGAAGGCTATCCAATAAAGCCAGTTCTACAAAATGCGGCCACTTCGAATTGTAATCTGGACAAATGTACAGTCACTTGTGGCACAGACTTTGTACCTAGCTTTGTACTGCCGGGTGGAACAACAAAAATGGAATTGACTTGCATCCAACGCAATTGGTACAGTGCAACACAGCCAACTCAAAATGCTGACACTCTCACTTGCAAACGTAAGATTTTACTTCAATGAATATTGAGCGATTGGTTTGTCCACATTTTTAAATTCAATATTATTTTCCGTCTTTAGCTGTTTGCAATTTACACAGTTTGAACGGTGGACAATGCAGCAATCCAAATACTTGCTCTTGTCCAGCTAAGCAACCAGTGGATGAAGAAATTGGCCAAAGTAATCCGGATCTAGATCCGGATAAACTGACGGAACATGACACGGATATAATAAACAAAGATGTTATCCTTGCATTCCCAGATTCAACGCCACCGTAAGTACCTTCAGTTAAAATGAATTTCAATCAACACTTGCTTATTAAAAAATAATTTTTGGAATGCAAACATGGACATCAAATACAGTATCGAATATAAATTCTCTTTTATCGACTCCAAGCTTGTCTACATCACCTCAACTACTGTTCACACCACTCAAAGTGATTTCACCTAATCACAACAAAATTGAACTACAAAAGAAGACACATCATGAGCTTACAAAAGCGATATATGCTGATTCATCGACGGACCCAGGGTTGGAGAACATGGATGTGGATAAGACAGACCTAGAGACAGACGCCGTGAACAACTCAGTTGTATGCTCAGCATTTATATTGAAATGTTTGAAAAATATTCAAAATATTTAATTTTAGGCTAACACTGATGCAATATGTTCTTCTACTGGATTGAAAATTGAAAAGAATGACCTTAGTGGTGATCCATGTGTGATTTTGAGCCATTCGAATCGTCGCGAAATTGTTAAACGACTGAAATTTGATTCAAGTCCAGAACATACCATCACTAGTAGCATCGGCTTGGATCCAAACCAACAGGAGGCGCAACACGTTTCACGTTCTGGTTTGACTAGACATGCAGACAGAAGGAAAATCACCAAAAATCCTCAACCAAAATTAAAGACGGAAGCACAATCCAGAAAATTGTCCAATACAAACAAAAAGAATAACGAAAAAGCGTGTAAAGTCAACAATTCAGTTGTATGTTCAGCATTCATTCATACAAGGAATCATATTGAGACTAGTATTGAAATGTTTAAAAAAATATACAATTCGTCAAATTTCAGGCTGATGCAATATGTTTTTCTGCAAATGAAGAGAAACAGATCAGAAAAAAGTCATGGTTGGAACCTGGATTGGAACGGAAAAGGTCAAAAAGAAAGAGTGAAGTACAAAATCATGATGTGTTGGGGAGTATATTAAAACAAATGGATGCTACGATGAATAGTAAAGCAGATAACTCAAACCTATGCTCAGACAATGTAAATATGCCACACGAAAACCCTAGCGAAAAGCACAGATTATGTTACAGTAAGAATCTGAGTAACAACCTAGGTAACAACAGCCCTTACGGTGCGATGTTCTTGAAATCTGAAGTTGAAGAGAAACATTATGGCCGACTTAGTGTAGCTCCATTTTTCGATGCATATTCAGTTCCTGACGATATCGAAACATTGGAGCGAACTGGTAGTTGCACAAATCCAAACTATAATCTGCTCACAATGATTTTGAAGTATGGACGAATAAGAAGAAACGAAGACTTGTATTATGAATGCCGAACTATTCAAATTCACTTTGAAGAAGCTGTAGAATTAGCCAAATTTCACCAATTCAAATGCACGGGCGTTCTGATTAAGCATTACACAAAACACCTAGCGAAAGATGCAAACAATATAGTTCCCAGTACATTTTGCTTCAAAATAGATGTAAGTTTTTTTTAAATCTAATAGTTTTCATTTTTTTCAATTAAAATTTAATTTATTTTAACCTCAATTTTAACTTTATTCAAGCGTCAAACATTAAAATTGATTGAACCAATTGAAGACAAAATCCTAACGCATTTTACATTGAGGACGTCCCTTCAATCAGTGAAGTCGCTAAAGTCTGGGCAAGCCATATCAATTCCGGGTCAAATCACCTATAACACAAGTGAATATATACACTTTACCCTGAGTGCCGATCAAGAATCAATAAACGGCCTTATACAGCAGTGTTCAACCCCAGCTTCCAGCGAAGTATATGTCACTAAATATGATATCTTATTTCATTCCAATCGCACGACTTTTTTACTCCAACACAACGCGTTACATTGGATGAAACAACATGATCTCTTTAAGTGTTTGATCAATGATCAATTATATCTTAATGTCAATCAACAATCTCATCAATGTGAAAACAGTATTCATTTCAATAATTATAACCTCAGGTAATACATAGGGTAATACGTTTTTGCTCGATTTTTTTGATACATTTTTTTGATAAGCATAATTTGCTCAAGTTGACCCAGCCAACATGATATATTTTTCTACAATTTTCAGCGGTGAACTGGCACAAAATCTCAACGATGAGCAAAAAATAGCTGTGATTAATATTGCAAAAAGAAGTAGCGGCCGCTTACCTTACCTGCTGATAGGCCCACCAGGTTTGCTGTTTAGTTAGAGGTTTTTCTTCAACTGTACATCTACTAACAAATATTTCTTAAA